ACTGACCAATTCTGGCAAAACGAGTGACTCGTTATTTTTGAAATAACTCAAAGAGTTTTCGATCGATATCTTCTCAACGGTTATAGTTTTGCCAAAATATCTTATTCTCATCGATGGTATAATTCTGGGATCAAAGTTGTAATCATTAATAGCTATTGAATCAAATGAATGGCTAATATACGGACTCAAACAATTTGGCGGCCGTTTGTTTCATATGCGGGTCGCAGTCGTCCACACTCTTGGCGTATCTGAAGATTGCGACCAAATATGTGATAATCGCCGGCGAGTGGACCGACTGTTGGCGGACGAGTTCCGCGTAATCAATGGCTTCACTCCATTCACACTTCAAGGCGTGACATAACGACAGTTCCATATGAAATATCTTATGACTGATTTCCAGACTATTGTTTGCCAAACAGTCTTTGAACAGATGGATGGCCTCATCGATGTGGCCACTGATTTGGGCCAACTTTGCCTGCGCTAACCTATACAACAAACTCTGTGCAAACAGTTTAACCATTATTTTACATTTAATTTGTTTTGAATATTTTTTAAAGAGATTTTTTTTATATTAAATTACTTTTGGAAATCTTTTCAATTCCTTATCAATGATCTGTTGACTGAAGGCAAGGGAGGATTCTTTGGGTCCGAGACAGGCGTGCGGTTGGCCCGCAATCCAGTAGAATAGGAGCACTACTTGAGCGATACGACTACTAATTCCGGGCAATTCAAACGCCGTACGGCTTAACTCCTGAAAGGCTCGACTTTCCACACCCTTATAGCCGAGAAAATTCACTATTTTCAACAGTTTTGGTGGGATATGACTGATGGTCAGGTGCTGTATGCCATTTGCTAGCCGTACGCCGGCCTCGAAGTGTTGTTTTGATGTTTCCGACTCCCAAATGGATCGGTTTCTCAGTATTGTTTTGCATTCCCTGTGATTTTTAGAACACTTTTATTAATTAATATCTATTTTATTGGATTTTATGTCACTTTTGATTACTTGAAAGCACTGACACATAATCGCAAACGATATGCAATTTTGATGAGAGCGTAGATATTCTGTGCCTCCAATGCACACAATATAGCGCTCATACCCAAGAATTTGGCATAAGTTAGCTCTGCGTGTATTTCCACTAAAAAACAATAAATG